CAGTTCTAGCACCTGAAGGAACAGTTCTAGTACCGGATGGATCATTCCATCTATAGGTCATTAGGACAGAGTACCTGTGGTGCTTCTCTCGAACAGCACACACTAAAAAGACAACAGGAACCCTGGAGTGCACCTGTGGAACACACTCTTGAGTGCACCTGTGGAACACAACCTTGAGTGCACCTGTGGGACATACCCTTGAGTGCACCTGTGGAACACAACCTTGAGTGCACCTGTGGGACACACCCTTGAGTGCACCTGTGGAACACACCCTTGAGTGCACCTGTGGGACACACCCTTGAGTGCACCTGTGGAACACACCCTTGAGTGCACCTGTGGGACACACCCTTGAGTGCACCTGTGGGACATACCCTTGAGTGCACCTGTGGAACACACCCTTGAGTTCACCCGTAGTACATACCTGGTCTCCTGCGAGCCGTCCATGGCAAACTGTGCGGCGGTGGGCAGCACGCGGTCCGTGATGTCCTTGACCCCGCTGAGGATGCGACCCGAGCCCATCCGGTCCACCAACTCCACCAGGAACTGGGCCGTGGTTTTTCGGATTTGTGCATTTTTGTGTCTGAGAACAGAGAAGAGTGACTTGTTTGAGTGGAGCTTTCACAGCGCTCACAACTGCAAAAGGTTATATGAGCGCCAAGGGGTGGGTGTCAACAGAGAAGTCCTTACAGGGAATCAGACTTACTCTGCTCACCTCTCTAGCTTCAACAGCACAAAGTCTGCTTCGACTATCAAGGCAGCCCGGAAATAGCGGGTCACAAGAGATGGACAAAGATACAAAAGAAGTAGAGGAAAAATCATACAAGAAGGCGACACACAACAGTTTAGTTTTAGTAGAGGTTTTACGGCGCCCGCAACAGCATAAGGTCATATGAGCGTCAGAAGATTAGAGGTGTTACAAAAGAGTAACAAACATAAAAAGAAGAACGAAAGATAAGGACGATAGACGTTTGATAGGAAAAAAGAAGCAAACACACCAGAGCACCCGCCAACCACCCACTGACACACAACAAGTACGTGACATACAAGAAAGTGACATTGAAGGTGACAAAGAAAAGGGTGACATATAAGGTGACATATAAGGTGACATACGACAAGAAGGTGACACAGAACAACAAGGTGACACACAACAAGAAGGTGACACAGAACAACAAGGTGACACACAACAACAAAGTGACTTACGATGCTCCCCCGGCGATCAGTCCCAGCAGTGCCCTCTGTGGTGTCACGTTATCCATCATGGCCACCAGGGCTTTCTCCACGTCCTCGCGGATGAACTGATTGCTCTCCCCTGCCTTGGCTAGCAACGTCTTTGCTGAAATCTCCACCTCCTGGGGGTGGGGGGGGGGGGGCACACGAGTATATATGGTCATTTGTTGTCCAGGTACAATTCAGCACACAAATGCTGTCAATGATATGTGCAACACAAAGCAAGCTACACAACAGAAATACCACAACCCTAGTTGGACATCTACACAACCCTACACAACCCCAGTGATGTTCGACATCTACACAACCCTACACAACCCCCGTGATGTTCGGCATCTACACAACCCCAGTGATGTCAGACATCTAGACAACCCCAGTGATGTCAGACATCTACACAACCCCAGTGATGTTAGACATCTACACAACCCCCGTGATGTCAGACATCTACACAACCCCAGTGATGTTCGACATCTACACAACCCCAGTGATGTCAGACATCTACACAACCCCAGTGATGTTAGACATCTACACAACCCCCGTGATGTCAGACATCTACACAACCCTACACAACCCCCGTGATGTCCGACATCTACACAACCCCAGTGATGTCAGACATCTAGACAACCCCAGTGATGTTAGACATCTAGACAACCCCAGTGATGTCAGACATCTACACAACCCCAGTGATGTTAGACATCTAGACAACCCCAGTGATGTCAGACATTTAGATAACCCCAGTGATGTCAGACATCTAGATAACCCCAGTGATGTCAGACATCTAGATAACCCCAGTGATGTTAGACATCTAGATAATCCCAGTGATGTCAGACATCTAGATAACCCCAGTGATGTGAGACATCTAGATAACCCCAGTGATGTCAGACATCTAGATAACCCCAGTGAAACGCTTCAGCAAGCACTGAAACCCCCCCCCCCCCCCCCCT